CTTAAGTAAAATTTGTTTCCATTTCTTCTTTTAGAACAAGTACGTGATTTTTAATCGTCTCTGTAAAAAAAGATGGTAAATTTAGCTTTTAAACCTGAGGTAGAAAGCACTTAGTTTACTGTCAATTATTCTGAAAAGAAAAATCGGTCTAGAGTAAAACACATCCACCTTTCGACCCGGAAGAGCTAGCTGCTGTGTCCAAGTTAGTTGAGTCTTAACCTGTTGTTGTTTTTTACTAAAGTTGAGAAGCAAATGCTACCGACACAATGTGACATCTGGCAGCATGGACATGTCATTTGGATGATACTAGAAACCGGAGCGAGGGCAGCTCCTCCAGGGAGGGTGGGGATGGAAAGGACAGGTGGTTAATGGCTTGGCCATAGAGTTTGTCCAGAGGGAACACCTTTCTCTCTCTATTGGGAGTGACGGGGCCCTGGGAGGGAGCAGTGAGTGTTTGTCGTGGTGGATGGATTCCTTGTCTCTGCTTTTTGAGCCCTCTCTCCTCCAGGGAAACGCGACTACCACAATTACTCCATTCAATGCCTTTTCTTTCTTTTCTCTCAGGTTCTGATTTGAACCCTCCCGGCGCGATAGCTGGAACGATCCAGGACATCAAGCTAAGATTAATGCTGGGCGTTTCATTGATGAGCCTCTTCCTCTTCCTGGTCCTTCTGACACTCTGTGCGGTCACCATGTACAAACTGAGGAAGCTGTGAGTCTGCAGACCTCTGAAATCTGTGTCACACACGCAATGCCCCGCTCTGTCCCTTCTGCTTTGGTAGACTTAGGGAAGCATGATCCCCGCTCCCACAAGGCATTCAGCTTGACTCCACTACCCCTGTTCAGACAGCAGCAGGGGCTGTCACTCTGGGAATGTCACCCACATGTTCAGCTGTCATCTTGAGATAGACATGGCTCTAGTCATTACAAAGGATACAGGGCATCCAGATAAGCAGCTGCTGCTGTTTTTTGTTTTCGTTTTTAATTACCGTGGAACAAAAGCTACAAATTCTCTTCTAAATAGCACATCGGCATAGGATCTAACAGCCTTATTTAGTTATTTTTAAAATCATTTTATTAGGGGCTCATACAACTCTTATCACAATCCATACATA